AAAAAAAAAAAAAAAAAAAAAACTATGGAGGACTTGGTATCCTTAGGACAGTGGTTACAGCGCTGGCCAGATACACCAAGGCTGGTGGGTTCCAACCTGGTCTGGGTCAGCTAAACAATGACAACTGCGACAAAAAAAAAGCTGGGCATTGTGGTGGACACCTGTAGTTCCAGCTACTTGGGAGGCTGAGGCAAGAGAATTGCTTAAGCCCAAGAGTTTGAGGCTACCACAGCACTCTACCAAGGCTGGGGTGCGGTGACACAATGAGACTCGGTCTCAAAAAAAAAAAAAAGCTCTGGGGGGACCAGCCTAAGCAATGTAGGAAGACCTGCCTCTACAACAACAACAAAAGAGGTCTGGTGTGGTGACTCACATCTGTAGACCAGCATTCTGGGAGGCTGAGGTGGGTGGATCGCCTGAGCTCATGGGTTCGAGACCAGCCTGAGTAAGAGTGAGACTACTGTTGCCGTTAGGGTCTCACGGAAAAGCAATGTCGCAGAGAATAAGCACGCTTACTGAAATTGTGTTTTAAATAAAGGTGACCATTTGCTCACTCAGGCAAAATGGCGAGCTTCTTTATTTGTAGTTTATATAGGGAATTTTGTACATGTGTACAATACAGCAATAACCTCATTGATCCATTTAAACATCATGTGACTACCTCATAAGCTTCCAATAATCCACTCAACATACACCTTTTGACATAACCCTTTCAACATAACCCAATTTAACATAACTTAATGGAGAACATGTTGTTAGCCATTACTTTTGTTCTTATCTGATGATGCCTGAGGCTATGGAGGAACAAGGTAGATTGAATACCTGCCCTTGATGGCCTTGCATTTGGAGGCTGTTACTTCAGATCTTTGAACAAGGCATAAAGAAACTTCTTGGGCATACAGGAATTTGTGTGGAAACCTTTGCTCCCATGTAGGGCTTAAGTCAGGGGGTTTTTGCTGGAATCTTTTATAAGGAATTTTCAGGCTGGACTTCTCAAAAGCCTTTCACAAGCCCAAGTTTCATCTGTGCCATTACATACCTATATGCATTGGGTAAATTCCTCTTCTCTTGAGGTCCCCCAGCACATTTCCATTCCCGGACCCATCAGCAAGTGACCTTCATTACTTACCACAGATCAGGAAAGGTTACTGATGGGGTATCTAGCCAGTTTTCCAAAGGGCTTTTTTATTGGCCTTATAAAGTCAACCTTAATTCCCTAATGCAGTCTAGAAATCTCTGGAAATGCTATTCCAGTCAAAGCCTTGGTCATGTTAGGCCTGCAACTAACCAGGCCACATGGGATCCTGCCTCAGTTTCTCACAAGTATGCCTGCACAAAGTCTTTTCACTGCTCTCTCTCAAATGGCTTTTTTGGCCAGAGGCATATAGGTGTTTTGCCTATAGACTACCATTTCTAAAAATAGGTGAGTGTCGTGGCAGGTGCCTGTAGTCCCAGCTATTTGGGAGGCTAAGGCAAGACAACTGCTTAAGCCCAAGAGTTTGAGGGTGCTGTGAGCTGTAACACCACAGTACTCCACCAAGGGCAGCAAAGTGGGACGCTGTCTCAAACAAGAAAACAAAAAAGAGAAAATTAACTAGGTGTGGTGATGGCACCAATGGTCCTGGTTACCGTGGGACCAAGGTGAAAGGATCACTTGGCCCCCAAGTTGGAGGCTGTAATGAACTGGGGTGGTGTCACTGCACCCCAGCCTGAGTATACTGGGGGCTCTTGTTATAAAACATGCAGGACAGAGGTGCCCAGAACCCCTTCTCTCCAGGTTCCAGCAGGCACTGCAGCACCCACAACATGCCCTTCACTCCAGCCTGTCCCTCTGAGTTCAGCAATCACTTCTCCCACAGGAGACCTGAGGGAAGTCCTGTCACACAGACAGACAATCCAGTGAGTCTCCTGTGGTTGGGTATCTCAGCCTTTTCCAGAGTCTCACTGTTGCTTTAGTGTAGTGGTTCTCAACCTTCCTAATACCTAGAGCCTTTAATACAGTTCCTGGGGTTGCGAACCACAGGTTGAGAACTGTTGCTTAGTGCATCTGATTTTCAGATTTAGAAATAAAGACCTTGTAATGTGGCTACAGATTTCTGACTAAGAAAAAGACACTAAGCAGAACCAGCAGGCAAAGTCCTAAGGGGAGACCCAAACCTGAAAGGAACATACAGGGCCTCCAACAATGTCCCAAGGTTCAAGAATGTCTGGTTGTCTAATGAGTGTCAGCAGAGAAGGGCCACTGCCACTCATCAGGCTCCAAGCAGTCACCAGGCAGGCCAAATAAAGCAAAAGAAGCAGACACCAAGTCTCTTTTCTTGGTTCAGAAATAACTCCACCCACCCCCAGGAAATCCATGGGTCTGATTCCTCACTGGCCCCCCGGCTTACATACCTCCAGGCAGGCATCCTTCTCTTCCTCTTTGGCTAAAAACGGAAAAGTCAAGGGTGTAAAGGCAGACAAGGGCACAGTTACCAACTCATGCCGCCCATCAGGACAGCTGTGGTTCCAGGCTTTTCCCCTAGGTTCCTTTTCAAGTCAAATCAACGCTTTCATCCTACTGAAAAATCCTGCTCTCTATCAACAGTAGCTGTGTTTTCAAAAGCAGCTGCCGTGCCTCCTTCTCCCTGTAGACAGCTCTCACGTGGCTGCTGGAAACTCAGAACAGCAGCCAAGTTACTGGGGCGAGAGAGTCTGGGCAGCTCAGTTATACCTGGGACAGGGTATAGAGACTGGGGAGGCATCGCTGAGCAGTGAGCACCGCGAGGGATAGACTGTGGAAGGCGCTCTGCAGGAGAGGGAGCACCACTGTGGAAGAGGTGCCGCTGGCATCTAGGGAAGGGGTTCCGCTCAGAAGGGGATGAGACTGGGGAAGGAGCTCCAGGGAGGGGATGAGACTGGGGAAGGAGCTCCAGGGAGGGGCTGAGACTGGGGAGGTGGCTCCGCGGCGTAAGGACTATGGAACTTCCGGGCTGGCAGGCTACCAGACAAACGGTGATACTATCAAGTGCGGCAGGCTCAGAGCGCAGAGCGGTGTGCGAGGCCCGGAGATGATGAATTCGGGGACCCCATGGGCCAGACTCTCCAGTGGAGAGGGGCCCGGAGGACCACGCCGGAAGACGCATCAGGGCTGCACCGACCGCCTCGCACTCGGACGCCGTGGGCCCAGCAAACCCGAGGCAGCAGCGAATGACACCAAGGCAACTGGGCACATGTGCGTTGCGGGAACTGGCACGCCCTCCCGAGGTCGCCTCTGGTACCCACCCCCACCCCCACCGCCACTTCGGGGCGCGCAGGGTAGTCACTCCCCAACCCGCCCT